TCCATTTAGAGTCACACAGACCATAAAGCAGGGGATGCTTTCGGGCGGGCTACACAGTGATTGACAGGTCTCTACCAGACACTATACAGGAATATTAGAGGAATATTTATTTAATTAGTAGAATGTTGTCTTTTTCAGAGTATCTGGTGCATTTAAACATGTGATCAAACTCTTCTGTGTCCGTGGTTTTAACAGGACGTCCCATACAGAGAGTCTGAGCCTCTGATTGGCTGAGAGGACAGAGGTCTGTCCTGTATAATTACCGATGATGACAACCCATCTATAAACAACCCGTGTCTCTCTCTCTGCTCTGATGGAAAAACACAACTCATCACAGAAGAATGTGAGCTGGTTTTACACCTCGCAGAACAAATCACAGACAGCCAATCAGGAGCTAAGCCCTCTAACAGAAGAGCTGCATTCTGGGCCATCCTGTTTCCATAGAAACACAGAAGTAGACTGAAACTATGTTTTTTTAATTATGAATCATTACAAATATGCAGTGTTACAGCAGACAGTCTCAGTGAGAAAGAAGTTAGTTTTAATCCAAAACAGACAAAGAACAGGAGTAAAAACCTTGTTTGTTGACAGAGTAAACAATGCTGCAGGGCTGCCCTGTGATTGGCTGCTGGTGTTGACACGTCCTGTCATCAGTATGTAAACGACTCTAATTGTCGGAGTTGATGATATTTACAGAAGTGAACTCTGATACTCTGAGAAGGAAGACTTCTTTATATTCCTGTTGAGATTATGATTTATAGAGATGATTTTAAAATTCCTCATGATTAAATAAAGCTTTATAGTTAAATAATATCCACACTGAAGCTCAGAGAGAGTCTATGCTGTTACTTTGTTTACATCTGGCCTGCTGTCTGACACAACCAACAATTACCCTGTGATTTACAGTGGTTTACTGTCATTTACAGTCATTTACTGTGATTTACTGTGATTTACAGTCATTTACTGTCATTTACAGCCAGCAGGTGAAGCTGCTGACACACAAATATTTAGATCCATTTAGCAGCAGAGTAGAACCAGAGACAAAGACCTGCTGACCTGCAGCACATAGACATCCATCTCTTTCCTCCCGGTCTTTGTGGCTCTGGTTCAGGTCCAGACCTGCAGCTCAGTGACGACCACATTAAAAACAACCCAGACCTGGTCCAGAGGAAACAGGACTGAAGTGAAATTGTTTTAAACGAGCAGCAACATCTGGATCTGAGACGTGAAGCCAACAGGAAAAGTTAAAAAAAATTGCACTTCCTTTAAATTGAAGTCTCCACTCATGTGTCAACAATCCAGCTTCATTTCCACCAAAAAGAGCCTTAAATCAGGAGTGAGGGAGCATTTTGGATGTAAAATGACCAGAGAGTCATGTGACCCGCTGATTATCTGTTATCAGATACTGTTACTACGTGTACTTGATACTTTTATTTACCAGCTATATATTCTGTAATGATACATACTCTTAAATCAGAATTTGAATACGTTGAATATGTTAACATATATAATATATATATGTTGACATACATATATTATATATGTCAACTGGTTTATTTAATTAACTAATAGTCTGGCTAATTATTATTTCAGTTAAAATTAATAAAAACTAAAACACTGACTTTGCTGATGGCTCAGTAAACACAGAAAAGCTAGCTAACCACGTTTAGCTTTAAACCGTAGTTAGCTCCATGCTAACACGCTAACTAGCACCGCCTATCAATAGACAGGTTAGCTAAGCTAACTCAAACGAACATAAGAGAGTTAGCTGAGCATTTCAATATTCAACTTTATACCACCGTTAATTATCCGTTAACGGTGACATAATGACCGGGTAGCTGACGGTAAGATAGTGCTTTAGCTAAGAGAAGCTAACAAGCTAACAGGGGTTAATGCACGCTAAGCTAATGGCTGAGGTTAGCATTAGCTCCTCAGCTAACGAACCAAATAGAGTTAAATTACCCGTTTCATCGGTCTTCACGGTGCTGACTCTTCTCTCTCATTCACAAACAAGAACAACAACTGTAACGTTCGTTCCGGTTACTGGTTAAAATAAATAACTTTATTATTATGTATCTGTATTAATGTGACTGTTCATTACTTTTATCTTTACACACTAAACATCGTTTTCATGCATTACCTGTTGGATAGCGACGAACTACGTCACTTCCGGCTGCCATCTTTGTTTTCTATTTTTTGAAGTAGAACATTTTAAATTTAATTTTAAACATAATTATAACCTCGTGAAAAATAAAATAGATAAAGTGTTTATTTACTGTTTTCTTTTTCATACTCTTCAGCTTTTTGTAGTAAACTTCTAGTTCTCTTATGAAAATGTATGAATAAAGAAACATCTAAAATAAACAAAGTATTTAACAGAAATTCAGTTTTCTTTTCCTTTGTTTAGTTTAACAATCTTGTGAAAAGAGCAACAGTGAAAGAAGTACTCAAATATTCTGTTTAAGTAAAGGTAGTAATACTAGTGTAGAAATACTCAATTAAAAGTCCAAAAGTATGAGCATCAATATGTACTTAAAGTAGGAAATGTAAAAGCTCTCATTATGCAGAATATTATACGTATTTTACTATTGTATTATTGATGCATTCATGTGTTCATCACTTTGATGTAGCAGTTAACTGTGTAACTGTGGGGCTTATTTTTTACTTCATAAACTGCCTGGTAACAGTCAAGTATCATCTTTATCTATAATGATCATAATTTATTGGTTGATTATATTTTGTATTATTAATAGAGTAAAAATAACCATATTTAATCTGACATGTATTAGAAAGTAGAAAGTAAATTCTAAATTGTACTTGAGTAAATGTACTTAGTTACTTTCCACCTACATACAGTAACATTTTTCTACTGATCAGATCTGATAATGTTCTGATCGGTTCCACTGTGAACATGATGGAGGATCAATGTAACACGTTTTAAAGTATTTAATTAATATTGTATACATGAGTTTGGTCTCTATACCAGCAGTTATCACTAGGTTAAGAGGGTTGTCTGGTCACCGCAGGGTCAACGGTTCGATCCTTGACTGGGACGTGTCACGTGTCGTAGTGTCCCTGAGTAAGACACTGAACCCCTAGCTCCCCGGGCGCCTGTCATTGGCAGCCCACTGCTCCCTATATACAGGGATGGGTCAAAAAAGAGACAAATTTCCCCTTCTGGGATCAATACAGTATAAAAAAATTAATTAGTTAAATGTAAATAATAATAAATAAATGTGTTGTTTGGAATAGACACAAAGTATATTTCACTTGAAATAGTAATTCTGAGTAGGCTGTACTAAGTCAAAAGTGCATCTTGTCTACTTGTTACAACTTAAGTATTGAGTTAGTACAACAATCAATATTCAGCTTTACTTGTATGAAACAAGGACCTTTACTTTTCTGTTTGTAAGGCAATCAGTTTGCATGCTTTTATTTTTTAGTACGGTTAACTAATTCGATTTCACAGTGTACCAAAGTAAAAGACGTCCTGTTAAACTCCAGTAAAGACTCATAGACTCATTGAGAAACACAGCTCACCTTTATTGACCGTAGAGTTCTCTACATTGGACACAAAGACAGATTAGTTTCTTTTGAAGATGAAGGGAGATTAAAATAGTGACCAGCTGGATGGAACTGGTTCTGGTCTCTGTGGTGGAACCAGACCGGTAACCCCACCTCAGAAACTGGTCTGGTGTCAGCTCTCCTGACAAGAGGAAAGGCCTCAGTATACAAGCAGCAACATGTTTCTGTTATTATTAACATCTACTTCTTCAGGAGGAAACTAGAGTCTAAGTTCAGCAGGAGTTCAGAGACATGAGACACAGTTTAAAGGACACCAAGACACACACACATATATATATATATACGTATATATACATCTTGAATTACACATATTATATCTTATTGCTGCTAAAACACCATCACCTTCCCTGTCTTTGTTACACTGGGACTCCTTCATGTGTAGGCGATGCTTTATGATGCGTTCAAGTCACGTGGGAAGTTCTCATACTCATCATCCACGCTGTAGGTACGATCTAGAAGCTCTGACTGTGAATCTCACGTGTTTTTATAGCCACTGAAATGTTAACGAGGTAGAATTTAACTTTTGAAACACGGATGTTTGTGTGTCTCTTTCTGTTTTTGGTATCAAAACAAAAAATCAGAGAATCAGACGGTAAGAGAAGTAAAATACTCAGTGATAGAGTTCTGCAGGAATGAGTACTAAAACCAGACATGACATGACTATGTAATAGTTCATGTAATAATCCGGAATACAATGGAAGAATCTGATTGGCTGTTTGTGGAGGGAACCAGTGATTGGACTACAGAAATATGACTTCCTGTTGGATATCCTGTAGAACTCTACACTGATGAGTGAGAGACTGATGTTCAGATGACTGATTACATGTGAATCTCACATGAATGCAGCATGAGCAGTATTAGTGTTGTTGGTGATGTTGTGTTGTTTGTGTTATTATTGCGTTGTTGTGATGTTGGTGTTGTTGTTGTGTTGTTTGCATTGTTGTGTTATGTTATTGTGTTGTTTGCGTTGTTGGTGATGTGTTGTTGCATTGTTGGTGTTATTTTTGCATTGTTGTGTTGTTGTATTATTGTGTTTGCGTTGTTGTGATGTTGGTGTTTGCATTGTTGTGATGTTTTGTTGTTGCATTGTTGGTGTTGTGTTATTGTGTTGTTTTGTTATTGTGTTGTTGCATTGTTGCGTTGTTTGCGTTGTTGTGTATCAGACAGTAAAATGCTGCTGACATGAAGTCAAACACATTCTTTGGCAGAACAAGAGACAGAAACAAAGTCTGCTGGACGGACTGATGGGACGGAGACACACAGCTACACAACACACACACACAGCTACACAACACACACACACCGTAGAAATGTTCTCTATGCTCTTTTTTACACACGTTGGTCCTTCAAAATAAACTACATCTGATATATATGCAGTTTTACTAAATATATTTTTATATTTGATATGAGCAGCTGTGACACCAGAAATATATATATATATATATATTTATATATATTCATGTTTACATGAAGACAAAACAAATGAGGCTTTAAACAGCTCTGACATCACAACATCAGCTGGAATCACAAATGACAAAGACTTCCTGTCTGTAAAACATTTAAATGAGACCCACCAATGATGATCGATTACAGAGTATTAATCTTTACAATAATAATAATAACAATAATAGTAATAATATTAATAATAATAATAATAATAATAACAATAATAATAATCACATGGGACACTTTATGGTGAACGACAGTCGAGACGACAGACATGAAGAGCTGAGAGGAGCTGCTTTCCTATTGGACGGTGAGACCGCTGTCTCTGTGTGTGTATATATGTGCGTGCGTGCGTGTGTGTACATGTGTCTATATATGTATGTGTGTGTGTGTAGCTGGTCACAGCTGGGTGGGTCCTCTGCTGTGCATCTCACTACCAGGAGAAGGAGGTGCGGTCACCAGACTCCTCAGGTAGACACAAGGGTTCCTCCTCCTCCCCGAGAGAAGGGGGGCAGAGCCTGGTGGCGGTGGCGGCGGTGATGGCGGAGCCATTAGGGTGCCGGTTGTCCTCGGAGATGACATGAGAGGCTGCATCTCCTGCAGCGCTCTTCCTCCCTCCTCCTCCTCCTCCTCCTCCTCCTCCTCCTCCTCCTCCTCCTCCTTCTTCTTCTTCTCCGGGAAGCAGAAGGAGCCCTGTACCACCTGAGCTCCGATGGCGGAGGTGCTGCCCGGTGGCGTGTAGGAGGCCGGACGGGACCCCCCCAGTCTGGACAGGGCGATGACTCGGGGGTGGACCGGCTCGGAGTGGGCCGGGGGGGAGGAGATGCTCTCCAGGGACGAGATGCTCTGGTTCCAGGCCTGCTGGAGGTCCACAGGGATGATCTTAGTGGCCTCCATGGACACACATGGAGGAGGAGAGCCTACGCTGGTCACTTTCCATGGGAGGTGGGAGGGGGGGTCCACTGCTGGTGAACTCTGACCGCCATCATCCAGAGCTGCTGGGACTGATGCATGATACACATGACAGTTAGACCTGATCATCATCATCACAGGACTTCAGATCTGATCTGTCACTGACTGGTATGTAATAGTAGTAGTAGTAGCAGCAGTAGTAGTAGTAGTAATAATAGTAGTAGTAGCAGTAGTAGTAGTAGCAGTAGTAGTTGTAGCAGCAGCAGCAGCAGTAGTAGTAGTAGCAGTAGTAATAACAGTAGTAGTAGCAGTAGTAGTAGTAGTAGCAGCAGCAGTAGTAGTAGCAGCAGCAGTAGTAGTAGCAGCAGCAGCAGTAATAATAGTAGTAGTAGTAGCAGTAGCAGTAGTAGCAGTAGCAGTTGTAGCAGCAGCAGTAGTAGTAGTAGCAGTAGTAATAGTAGTAGTAATAGTAGTAGTAGTAACAATAGTAGTAGTAGCAGTAATAGTAGTAGTAGCAGTAATAATAGTAGTAATAGTAGTAGTAGTAGCAGTAGTAGCAGTAGTAGCAGTAGCAGTAGTAGTAGTAGTAGCAGTAGTAGTAGTAGCAGTAGTAGCAGTAGCAGCAGTAGTAGTAGTAGTAGCAGTAGTAGTAGTATTAGTAGTAGCAGTAGTAGTAGTAGTAGTAGCAGTAGCAGCAGTAGTAGTAGTAGTAGCAGCAGTAGTAGTAGTAGTAGCAGCAGTAGTAGTAGTAGCAGCAGTAGTAGTAGTAGTAGCAGTAGTAGTAGTAGTAGTATTAGTAGTAGTAGTAGCAGTAGTAGTAGTAGTAGCAGTAGTAGTAGCAGTAGTAGTGTGTGTTCTTACCTGATCGAGGTCTTTGTTTGGGAGTCTCCACCTTACGAGCTATGAAGGTGATCCCGACATCTTCTTCCTTCTCAGGGTCTGAATGTTCAGCTTTCTCCTCCTCAGACTCCACAGGAACCACCACCGGGTCTGAACACACACACACACACACACATTTTACATGGTGGTACTTTTGTTTCTGTATGTTAACATTTTCCATTTAAATACCTTCTTCAGTTATTATTTTTATTCATCCATCCCCATTTTGAGATTTAAGGTCATTTTTATGTTTACAAACCAAAACTACACTTCTAAATTGTCGCATATTCTCAAATAATAATCTGTTTTACTATCTGGTGTAATCTGCATGAATAAAGCTGAGAAGCTTTATAATACATCCAGAACAGATTCATAATCAATTAATACGCATTAATAACAGCTGCTCATCCAGGAGGTCAATTACAGAAATACAGATATGATGAAGAAAATGCCTGAGAAGTAAAAATAAATGAATAATCAATCAGCTTTACTCTTGTTGTTTTTAGCCCTGATCAATAAAAAACATTGAATACTGAGCTCAAACTTTATTCATATAACATATTCAGAACAGACGGACTCAGCTGTCGTATTATTTATCACCAGCTGAAGATCTTTTTGAATATCTCTCGTCTCTTATTGTGAGAGAAGTATTTAAATTGTCTCTTATTGTGATAGAAGTATTTAAATTGTCTCTTATTGTGATAGAAGTATTTAAATTGTCTCTTATTGTGATAGAAGTATTTATATTGTCTCTTATTGTGAGAGAAGTATTTATATTGTCTCTTATTGTGAGAGAAGTATTTATATTGTCTCTTATTGTGATATAAGTTTTTATATTGTCTCTTATTGTGATAGAAGTATGTAAATTGTCTCTTATTGTAATAGAATTATTTATACTGTCTCTTATTGTGATAGAAGTATTTATATTGTCTCTTATTGTGAGAGAAGTATTTATATTGTCTCTTATTGTGAGAGAAGTATTTATATTGTCTCTTATTGTGATATAAGTTTTTATATTGTCTCTTATTGTGAGAGAAGTATGTAAATTGTCTGTTATTGTGATAGAAGTATTTATATTGTCTCTTATTGTGATAGAAGTATTTATATTGTCTCTTATTGTGATATAAGTTTTTATATTGTCTCTTATTGTGATAGAAGTATGTAAATTGTCTTTTATTGTAATAGAATTATTTATACTGTCTCTTATTGTGATAGAAGTATTTATATTGTCTCTTATTCTGAGAGAAGTATTTATATTGTCTCTTATTGTGATAGAAGTATTTATATTGTCTCTTATTGTGAGAGAAGTATTTATATTGTCTCTTATTGTGAGAGAAGTATTTATATTGTCTCTTATTGTGAGAGAAGTATTTATATTGTCTCTTATTGTGAGAGAAGTATTTATATTGTCTCCTATTGTGAAAGAAGTATTTATATTGTCTCTTATTGTGATAGAAGTTTTTATATTGTCTCTTATTGCGAGAGAAGTATTTATATTGTCTCTTATTGCGAGAGAAGTATTTATACTGTCTCTTATTGCGATAGAAGTATTTATATTGTCTCTTATTGCGATAGAAGTATTTATATTGTCTCTTATTGCGATAGAAGTATTTAAATTGTCTCTTATTGCGATAGAAGTATGTAAATTGTCTCTTATTGCGATAGAAGTATTTATATTGTCTCTTATTGTGAGAGAAGTATTTATATTGTCACTTATTGTGATAGAAGTATGTAAATTGTCACTTATTGTGATAGAAGTATGTAAATTGTCACTAATTGTGATAGGAGTATGTAAATTGTCTCTTATTGTGATAGAAGTATTTATATTGTCTCTTATTGTGATAGAAGTATTTATATTGTCTCTTATTGTGATATAAGTATTTATATTGTTTCTTATTGTGATAGAAGTATTTATATTGTCTCTTATTCTGAGAGAAGTATTTATATTGTCTCTTATTGTGATAGAAGTATTTAAATTGTCTCTTATTGTGGTAGAAGTATTTAAATTG